CAACGGATCATATGAAGATTTGTCTGAAACGCAGGAATCGAATTTTAATTACAGATGTAAATAAATAGATAAATCCAGATATAATAAATGTGTATGAAATACTGGAATTGAATGGAAATATTGTATTTTTTATCAAATTAAAAAAAAAGAAAAAATAATTTCATCAACATTAACATCCATTTTTTTTTTTAAGAATTAAAAGTCATATTGCTTCGATGTAATATCAATTGCTGATGATTTTTAATGATGATAAATTAGAAAATTTTGTTGTTAAAAAAAATAACTTGTTGTTAAAAATAATCGTAATATCAGAATAAAAATTGGATTTGTTGTGTTAACTCTATCCTAGAAACGATTTAGAACGTTTTTAAATTTGATAATTGATGATATATTACTTCGCCATTGCAATCCATTTCGTCGGAATTGTCACCGCATTCGTTTTCTCCGTCGCAGCGGAAGAGAGATGATATACATTTTCCGTTCTTGCAATGGAAAAAATCCGGTGGATCGCAGCGTATAACTTACAATTATGAAAAGAAAAAAAAAAAAAAAAACAAAAAAGAAATAAATTAGAATGCAACCGATCTGTTGGTCATTTTTATTTACAAGAAGAAAAAAAAAAAAAAAAGAAAATTCACATTAACTTTTTTTAAAAAATATTTAAATTTGAGAGGCGATCAATTTTAATTCGAGATATATTTTCGTGTAACTGAATTTACCTGTTGTATCGATGCTCGAACAGTAGAGGTTGGTCAAAACGAAGAACACGAATAAATTGCGATACATAATCTGGAATAATTTTTTTCTCGAATGAGGCCACCTTTTAAAATATCGGATTTGAAATCGATCTTTTTTTTTTTTTTTAGAAAATTTCCATCTAAAAAATAATATTTGAATTAAACGAGAATTATTGATGTATTTGTCAATATATTTTATCAATCTTGAAATTTAATAAATTAAAATTCTATATACATGATACGAAAAATTATTATTAATAAAATTCGTGTAATTATTTTTAAACGATACGAATTTTGTTAAACCATTTTAGTTAGGAAGACTGATCGAATAATGGCAAATTTTTTTTTTTTATTGCCAATATAAAAAAGTTGGCAGACTAAAAGTTTCAATAATGCTGATAATAAAGAGTTGTAGTAGAATACGAGAGTTAAATATCAATCGTTCGTCAAAGGGTGATACGGTGTCATTTTTCGTTACATTGGTATCATTTTTTCCTGTAATTTCTATTCCTTATACGAAACTTATTTGAAGAATCGTGAAAGTAAATGAATAATAATTAAAAAACGAAATACTTAATCTATCGATATAACTCTACTATAATAAATATAACTCTGAATAAAAAATAATTTACCAATAATTGTATTTTCCGTTCTCTTAATTCTATTTCTTTGAAAATAATAAATTGTGCAAAAACAAAATTATAATCAATTTTATCAATTTATAATCCTCAAATAAATTTTTTTTCTAATAAAATATAGATTCGATATACTCACAAAAATTCTTCACAATATATGTGAAGAAACGAGATAGAAATTAATATCTCTATTTAAATTGTCCTAACGGAGTTTCTACGAGTTGTATCAAAATCCACTAGTCCTTACCACTACGACTGTTATACAAACACTAGAGGACGTTATACAGAGCTAACTAAAATTATATAGTGGTCGAGATACCACTACATGTATTCCACATTTGTTATGAATGCTTCATCATTAATACAAATTTCTTAATTTCAATAATTGTTTTAAACGAGATTAAATTTGAAAATGTAAAATGTACTTTTTATATATATTGTATTCGATATTAAAGTTGTTATAAGAATATAAAATTGCGTTAAAATTGAAGTAAATATAAATGTTTGAGTAAAAAAAAAAATTTTTTTCAGAATTTTAGAACATAAAACATAGATAAGTACGAATAATTTTGCGAAATGAATTCGTTCGTATAAAAGTAATTAATTAACATAAATTTCCCATGATACAAAGATTGCTTGTTAAGATACAAATGTCATAAGAAACGTACACAAACCGTTTTGACTGTTTGTACGTTACTCTTGAGTTCAAATATACTCGACCTTTAAATTACTTGAAGCTAAAGATACTTTTGTACTTCTCAATAATAATTAATAATTATTATAAAATTAATAACAATCAATTATCAAGACTTGATTCTGATATTTTAATAAAAAAAAAAAAAAAAAAAATACTCATTATT